TTGGTTGCTCAAAGTGATTTTATTTACTCAAATCCCCAGTCACCTGCCATTAGGAAGATTCAATCAAGACCGAAACCTTCATTCTCCAGCCCCTCCTAAGCCAACCACTCATCCCTTGCTCCCCCCACCCCACGCCCAGATCCAACCTGGCTTCCTGTATAGCCTCCCAGGGAAGCTAGTGGACTGGTCTCCAAACAAAGCAAAGGATCCTGTGGTTGGGGGGCAGTGGGCAGGAATAAGGCTGGACCCACTTGTGGGGAGCTCAGGTCAGGCTAGAGGTATCAGAGGACCCTGAAGTGACTTTAGAGGTCATTGAGTCTAACCCCATCATTGGAGGTTAAATGACCTGCTAAGATCACTTAGCTAGCAGATATCTGAAACAGAATTTGAACCAGAGGCCTCTCCACTAGACAGACCATGCTGTTTGGACCCACTCTCCCTGTGACCTAGGACAAGGCATTTCTGCTCTTACCTGTACTACGGACATGATAAGGTCCCTTCCAGCTTTAACATTCTATGATTCTATAAACAGAATACAGATAAACGGATTAATAGGTCTAGCAAAAATAGGTAGGAAATATAATACAGCTATTATTATTAATTATTATGATTACTTGGTCCAAGAACTGGATTTCACACACATGAATAAATACAATGTCCATTTTATGGTTAGGGTGAACTTCAGTTCTTAGCTCTTAGGTCCTTTCAGTCTCACCTGCTCTAGAATTAGAACTAGGGTGGGGCATCTGGGGCTTTACTGTTGGGCACCTAAATTTAGATGGTATGAAAAACATTTGTGCTGCTTTAGAGGTGGAAACAATCACTAAGCTCAGTACCTAGCAAGCCAGACCAATGGGGCAGCCAGGTGAAGCCTGGAGTCTAGAAGATATGAGTTCAAATCCAGCCTCAGACACTTAGTAGCTGTGTAATCCTGGGTAAGTCACTTGACCCTGCTTGCCTCAGTTTCCTCATCAGTAAAAAGAGCTGGAAGAGGCAACTAGGTGGCGCAGTGGATAGAGCACTGGCCCTGGAGTCAGGAGGACCTGAGTTCAAATCTGGCCTCAGACATTTGACACTAGCTGTGTGACCTTAGGCAAGTCACTTGACCCCAATTGCCTAAAAAATATATATATATAGCTGGAAATGGCAAATCACTCCAGGATCCTTTTCAATAAAACCCTGAATGGGGTCACAAGGAGTCAGACACAACTGGACAACAATAAGCCAGGCCAATTAGCTAAATAGGAAGCTACCACAGAGGGCTGCTTCCTCCTCTGGAAGCAACACCCCTTATGAGCTCCACCCCACTCAGGCCCCACCTTATTCTCTCTGCTATGGAAGGCTTTATGGCGTCTCGAGGGCTTGTTCTCCCCCCATGGAGCAGTGGTCTAGATATTCTCTCCAAACAGGGTTTTGTGCCCCAAGGTCTGAAGTCTCTACCTTCCCCTACTCAACTGATATTACCTGTGAGAGCTTCTCAAGGGTGTCTTTCCCTGGGTCCTCCCAGCCACAGGTACTTCCTGTCATGGCCCCATGTTACAGTTTCCCCACAGCATGATTTTCCTAAGGTTCTGTGGTTGTGTTCAGAGAGGCCATGGTAGGGACTGTAGTGGCCCTTTCATCTGCAGGGATGTCTGACACCAGAGCTCCCTGCAGTGCCCAGCCTCTGGCTGCCAGGGGTTCCGGATCACAGAGGAGCAGCAGTTGACTTGCTGGGCCCTGATCAATCACAGCCTTTGGCTCGGCCTTACCCAGAAAGGGAGATTATTCTTGATCCTCAGGACTGGGCCCTTCCATGTGGTAATTGCTCTGGAAGGATGCTCTGCTCCCCACTTTGAAACACCAGAGGAATTCAGACTGTTGGAAAGTAAGCAGGAAGGATGGCCTGAAAGTTGTGACATTCACTGGGAAAATCAAGAGGTCTGGGATGTGATGACAGATGAATGAATAAATGAATGAGTGAGTGAGTGAATGAATGAATGAATAAGTGAATTCATGAATTAAAAAGCAATTAATAAATGCTTACTCTTTGCCAAGTGTTATGCTAAGTGCTGGGGCTAGAAAGACACAAAATGGAGACAGTCCTTGCCCTCATCCAGGATCTTCCCTCGGTTCCTGGGGCCTTCTTGTCCTGCTGCCACTACTGCCTGGGCACCCTGGATAGTCCTTTCCAAGGCTTGTCCCCTTTCTCCCCTTGGTGAATTCTTCCTGAGGCCTCCATTTTTGTGGAAGCCTGTTCTGGTTTTATTCATTCTCCTGACTTTCTGGATTTCAAAACCAGAACCAATGGTTACTTTCATTCCTGCCCCCATCCCACTTCTCAGCTCTCTTTTGTGGGTTGCCTCCCCTCATTGGAGTATAAGCTTCTTGAGGGCAGGGACTATCCTTTATGTTTATATTTGTATCCTCAGCACTTAGCATGGGGCCCAATACGTAGCAAGTGCTTAATAAATGCTCATTTCCTTCCTTCTTTCCCTCAAGAAGCTTACGTCTAATTGTGGGAGACAACCCATGTAGGGGAATAGAGGCCAAGGAGGGACAGTTTAACTTGGAAAATGTCAAGGAGTAAAGAAAAATAGGTGGAGCTGCCCATACATAGTAGGCACTCATCAATCAGGATGGGGGTACCCCAGGGGAAAAAGGGTTAAACCTCCAAGCTATCGTCTCTGGTATGAGGGTACAGAGGCAAGACATCATGTGGGTGATGTTGGGAAAATTGCTTGACTTTTCTGGGCCTGTTTTCTCATTTGTAAAATGGACACTCTACTCTCAAACCAGCCAATGTGGGACAGCCAGAATGGCCCTGAATTTCAAGTCAAGAGACCTGACTTCAAGTCCTAACTCAGCCATTCACTAGCCAAGTGACCTTAGGAGCAGGACTTCCCGTCTCGAAGCCTCAGCTTCCTTATCTGTAAAATAGTGATGATAATACCTGTTACATGGTGCAGTAGTTAGAGCACTGGATTTGGAGTCAGAAGGTCTGGATTCAAACCCAGCCTAAGACACACATTAGCTGGATAGGTGGACTGAGTGATCTCAAAGCACTCTTCTACCTCTGTCCATGGTCCTAGTCCCTACCTTGAAGGGCTGTTGTATGGCTCTAATGTGATAATGTATATTAAAGTGCCAGGCAAACCCTTTGGGTCATAAGGATAGAAATGAATTAACCAATGGCAAACACCATTGAAGAGTTTCCACCATCATGGAGTTAGGATGGTAAGACCTCATTATTAGCTGACTTGTTGAGAAAGCATGGAGTGATGGCTAGAGACCCGATCAGGGAGTCAGGAAGAGATGAGCTCAAGTGCCACCTCTGACTCATACTGGCCATACTACTGGGGGCAAATTACTCCACCTCCCTTAACATCTCAGAGGATAAATAGCAGAAAAATTGCCAATCGACATCAGTAGAGGGAGTTTCTCCACCAGGAGTTCCCTACATTGAAGAAATCACAGGTTAGGGGCAAAAAATGATTATTATCCTCTAACTGGATTGTGTGATAGGCCATTAGGGCCTTTTTTCTGGCTAGAGAAAGAAGAGGCATGAAATAATGGCCAAAAGAACACTGATGGAGGAGCCAGAGAACCGGGTTCAAATCCCAGCTCAGCAACCTCCGGCAGCTCACTCCCCCCTCGTCCCACTTTCTGTTTCTTCTGTTTCTTCTGTTAAATGAAATATTGGACAAATGATTCCTTCCAGCCCCAGAGCCTTTGATACTAGTGACTATAAGCTCCCTGGGTGCAGGGACTACCTACTTATAATACAATGAGACTGTAAATTCCTTGAAGATGGAGGTGCTCTTGTATTTATGCTGTAAATTCCACAATGCCTAGCACAGAGCTAGGGATATATTAACAAATACTTGTTTACTGAGTAGCGCAGAAAGGGAAGAGGGGTGGGGGGATTGCTTGTACAAGGGGGAATGTTCTCTTCTCCCTACTTCCTCATCAGGCTGCAGGCAGGGGTTTCCAATAAGACTGGAGAGGGGAGCAGGCCATAAATGTACCTGAAGGAGGGAAGTTGGGATCTTCTGATTTTAGGGCCTTGACTGCTACAAGTTCATCCAGAGACAGAAAATTCCTAAAATCTTTCCACATATACCCCATTCAGGGGCTCCCTGTTTAATTAGCAATGAATGAACAAATGAATGAATGTATGAATGAATGAAAAAGCCTTTATGAAGCATTTATTATGTGCCAAGCACTGTGTTGAATTCTGGGGATACAAGTGCAAAAGTGAGACAATCTCTCCTCCCAAACTTATATTCTAACAGAGGAGAAAACACATATAGGGAAGAGTGGTCAGATTTGGAAAGTTTCAGGAATGGTGAGTTGAGCCATAGGGAATTAGATTGACACACCCTTTCTAGGACCAGAACTAGAAGTGGGCAGCTGGACAATGACCTGGAAAAAGGGAGTAAAGGTGGCTGAGGCCTACTGGCGATGGTGGGCCAGGTGAGATAATAACCAATTAGGAGACTGAGGCCCTAGGGAAGGAGTTCTGGGTTAATACTTTCAAGTTATAGTTTTGAGGCACAGCAGCTAGTGAGAGCTGGCTACGGATTCCCTGGCTTTCACCCTTCCCTTCACCACCAACTCAGTAGTGGTGACCCCCCGGGTGGTTTATATAGGTGGTCCATCAGGGTTGGGGGGACAGAGCAGAAGAATCATAGACTTCCTTCTGAACTTAGAGATTACCAGTGGGACCTGGAGGGGAGCTGAGGATGGCTAATGCCAGTGTATTGAAAAAGATCTGTAGATAAATCACCAAATGGTTTCAGGAAGAACCTAGGCCAAGGAGGCTTGGAAGGGTCATCTGGAATTACCTGGATAGCAGCATAGTAGGAGGTCTTGAAGCATTCTGGTGCCAAAGTAAGATCTCTTCTCCTGCTTGGATTGGTTTAGGAGCAAATGGACGGGTAGGGGGAGATGGAAGGATGTAGCCAATTTGAGGAGTGCCCCTTGGTCCTCACCAACTCTCCTTGTGTTCTCTCTCCTAGAACCCTGATATTGTACTGGTGCACTATCTGAATGTCCCAGCCATTGAAGATTGTGGAAAGCCCTGTGGCCCCATCCTCTGCTCCATCAACACTGACAAGAAGGAGTGGGCAAAATGGACGAAGGAGGAGCTCATTGGGCAGCTCAAGCCAATGTGTGAGTACGCCTGAGCCTGGACTGGGCTCTCCCAGATATTCAGAGAAATGAGGGAGCATATTCTTTAGCCTCCAGGGGCCACAGTGTCCACTGTTGCCCACCTAGACCAGGCTGGTTGGTTGTGAGACTGAGCCACCAAATTATATTTCTATTACTATATTTCATATAAGCTTATATTTAATAAGATCTATACTCTTATCTGTTAATGATCTGACAATACCTCAAATCTGTTAGGGCCAATACTCTTGAGATCTACCTACAAGATGAACCCCAATAATTAAAGATGCAATTTTAAGAGAGACAGAGGGAGAAAAAGGAGTATTGAATAAGAGTTATCAGGCACATGAATTATAGGGGAAATTCTTGGCTTCATCACGGACGTATGAACCCAGTATAAGTTGAAAAATACAAAGCACACAGATCATCAGGAGAAATCCCCAGATCAGTATAAACATGCAAATACATTGTCATGGCAAGAAAATCCATTTTGTTATAATGTAGAGTTCAAATAAAGAAAAGATTCTATTACATATATAATACAGAAAGATGCATCAGTTGGCACATAGAGAAGTAAGTCTCTATAGGGTAAATGGACTTCTGAATATAAACCATTTCTCATAGGGACTCACAGGATACAGAAAACACAGTCATCTGAATTTACAACCAGTCAGACATTGACCTTGGGGAAAATTTATTGTGCTTTGGGGGAGGAAAGACAGAAACTTTGTAATCTGTTGGTCTGTCCTAATCTGCCACTTGCCTTAGGGGTCCAGACCAAGGTACACTGCTTGCCTTTTGGTTATATTTGCACAAAAATTGTGGTAAAGGAAGATAAAACATAAGGATTAGATGTGACTGCCCATTTTACGTTGAAATGGGGATTTATTCTCAAATGGCATTATTCATGTCAAGAAAGAGGCATTATGATACCCTCTCTATGACCGCACCAAGGAAAAAAATGGTTCCAACATGATGAGAACAAAATCCTTACCAACAATGCTAAAAATGTTAGACATGTCATTATTCTTAAAAAGAGGATGCCAATGGAATACCAATCAATATCTGTCCTAGACCTAATGGTGCCTGCCATGTGGCCACCTAGGAAGGATTAACGCACCATAGAGTACTGCTTGGTCTACCAGAAAAAGAAGAGAAAGAGAGAGAGGAAATTCAGCTTCCTTGTCCCACCAAAAAGGAAGAGAGGCAAATTAGAAAGAGCAGAGGCAAAGAATTTACATTCTCCAAGCCACCAGGCAGAGAAGGAAGAGTGAGAGGGAAGTCCCAACTCAACCGGAGGGAAGGAAAGCAGGGTCAAGAGAATGAAAACTTGTATCTTGAAACTTCTGTCTTTTGCTTCCATTATAATATGGTCATATGCTCCTAGTTAGATTGCTTCTTAATCAGATCTAGGGATACTCTGTTCTATCCCCTTGAGGGCCAGAAGTAGCATCATGCCTTCCGTGTCCCAAGCTCTGTCAAATTTGAAGATTAGGGGAGATTCCCTCCTCATTTTTCTAAGCAGTCAGTTGTGAATTAAAGGGTCCTGCCCTAGTAATAATAGAAAGCTACCATCTCAACCATGACCAGTTACTGGTGGAGCACTCTTTCCTAAGATCTCCTGAACTGGGTAGAGCCAAAGGAAGAAAAGTAGGGGTATTCTGCCCTCTTCCCATCCCAAATAGCTAGAAAATAATCTTTATGTCAGATGACAGCTTAGGATATTAGAAGAGTTTCTGTGTAGACAGGATCCTAAACTCAAGAATCTGGAACTCCAGGTGGGTTCACAAAAACACTGTGGGTCAAGGGGAAGATGCAGAAAGCTGTTACCAGCTGTCCAAGATCACATCATTGTCAGTGCCACCAACTGTTCTTCTTAGTACCCTGAAAAATAAACCTCTCGGTGTCCACACCTAGATTGTATGATGGCGAGGGAGAAAGAAAGAAAAAGAAAGAAAGGGAAAGAAAGAAAGAAAGAAAGAAAGAAAGAAAGAAAGAAAGAAAGAAAGAAAGAAAGAAAGAAAGAAAGAAAGAAAGAAAGAAAGAAAGAAAGAAAGAAAGAAAGAAAGAAGGAAAGAAGGAAAGAAAGAAAGAAAGGAAGGAAGGAAGGAAGGAAGGAAGGAAGGAAGGAAGGAAGAGAAAGGAGGGAAGGAGGGAAAAGGAAAGGAAAGGAAAGAAAAGAAAAGAAAAAAGTATAAGTTTTTTTTCAAAAAGTATAAAGGAGGATACATTTTGCATTACATTAACAATAACATGCACATATATATACATATACATACACACACATATATTTTTTACAAACCATTTTTTCCTTATAAAATATTTTCATATCTGTAATCTGCCTGTTCAAAATAAAGGAAGTAAAACAAGCATTATCCTCATTTTCTGGATTTGGAAACTGAGTCACTAGGAACCTCGACATAGGCTTATTTTAGAAGGATATGGATAAGCTCCAGAGCATCCAGAGAAGAGAGACCAGGAGTGCACAAGTCCTCCAGATTGTGCTTTATGTGCCTCATGAAAACTGTTGAAGGAATGAGGGACGTTGATCTTAGAAACGGGAAGGTTTGGGGAGACACAGTCATCTGCATAGGAAGAGTTCTCTCATGACAAGGTTTGGCATTGTTCACATTGTCATCAGAAGGCAGAACTGGGAATGAGGGTTAGGAATTGCGAGGAAGCAGATTTAGTCTTGCTATTGGGGAAGCTTCCTAGCCATGAGAGCTGTCCCAAAGTGCAATGTGCAGTTTAGAAAGAAGGGCAGTTCTCCCCACACTGGAGAGCTTGAGGGCAGAGGTAGAAAGACCATTTCCTAGGCATGTCATTGAGGGTACTCAGCCTGGTACAGGTCAGAGATCATCTCTTCTGTCCCTTTGAACTCTCAGATTCTGCAATTTTAATAGGTTAAGGCTAGGTCACACAGCAAGTTAGTGGTGGCAGAGCCAGTACCAGAAGGCCAGTCTCCTGCCTCCTGGGCCCAGAACAAGGTGACCAAAGCAAGATGGCAGGTTTAGGGACCCTTTAATTGACCAGAGACACAGTTGGGGCTGAAGAACTGAGAAAGGAGGCAGGGCTGACAATTTCACTTGCTTTCAGCCCCTCTCATGTTCCCATGACCTCCCCAGGCCTTCCTCACCACCTCTAGGATGCAACTCGGTCTGGTCAGACCATTCCAGACAGTTCTGCTCCATCTGGGTGGTAGATGGATGACTATAATTGAGTTGGATTTCATTTTTGTCAGCAAAGAGCTATGTTCAGAGGCATCTGTCAGGTGTGAATGGCTGAATGCAAAATACTAAGCCCGTCAGGGAATTCCTTGCCCAAGGAACTGGTGCCTGGCCTGCTCCTAATTGACATGGGCTGCAGCTCCCCGGAAGCTGCTGGAGAAAGGACAGTTGTTCCCCACCATTGGCCAGCTGGGCTCCCAAAGAGTGGTGTGTTTGCCAGTCACATCCTATAAAATTGTGTGTCCTCTGGGATGCTGGCCAGGGATCACGCATACCACAAGATACTGCACTAGAAGAATCGTTACATATTTATCTGCTAGGGACCCAGAAAAGGCAGGCAGCAGGTTTGCAAGCCCAGGACAATCTCGACAGATGCAGTTTTTCTGAGCCCTTTAGAAATATGGGATCTTCCCCTAGCAGCTGGCTTTGGTGGGGCAGAGATCTCCCCAGTATAATCCAACTTGTTTGTAATGGACAAGCTGAGAGCCCAGTCCTTCCCAGGGAGGGGTAGGACACTCAGAAAAATAATTATACCTCCCCATCCCTCTCAGAAGGAACTATATACAGATGGAGGCTTTGCTGAGGTGGGGGGATCTCACCTTAATTTTTTGAGGAAAAAATAATAATACCTGACATTTACACTGACTTTAAAGGTTTGTAAGCAAGTCAATGAGCATTTATTAAGCACCTGCTTATCTGCTTTACATTCATTTTCTCATCTGATCCTTACAATATCGGGGAGGCCAGAATATATTATTATTTCCCAGTAGATAGAGTTCTGGGCTTGGGGGCAGAAAGACTTGAACTCAGATCTTGCCTGAGACACTTAGCTAGCTATGTGACCTTGGACAAATCCATTACCCAACCTCTCAGCCTCGATTTCCTCATCTGTAAAATAAGGGGATTGGATTCAATGTGAAAGGGAAGGAAATAAGCATGCATTAAGCTCATTAAATATTAAGCTTATACTATATGTCAGGTCCCATGCTAAACTCTTTATAAATATTATCTCATTTAATCCTCATAACAACCCTGAGAGGCAGGTGCTATTATCTCCATTTTTTAGATGGAAAATTGAGGCAGATAGAGCTTAAGTGACTTTCCCAGGGATCATACAGCTAATAAGTGTCTGATCTGAACTCAGGTCTTCCTGACTCCAGCCCCAGCGCTTTCTCCACTGTGCTTCCTAGCTGCCACTTGTAAAGGCCTCTAAGGTCCCTTCTAACTCTAAATCTAAGATTTTATGATTTTATAATCATGGAAACTGAGTCTCAGTGAGGTAAAATAATTCCTTCAACATCACTTAAATAATAAACATAATAATAATAAACATGTAATTACATAAGGTTTGCAAAGCACTCTCTATACATATTCTCACTTAAACTTCACCAGGGGCAGCTAGGTGACACAGTGGATAGAGCGCCAGCCTTGCAGTCAGGAGGACCTGAGTTCAAATCTGGCCTCAGACACTTGACACTTCCTAGCTATGTGACCCTGAGCAAGTCACTTAACCCCAATTGCCCAACCATTATAAAAAAAGGACCTCTGCATGGCACATTATCATAGAAAGTCACATATTCACATGATATTTGTTCTATTGTATTTCTTATATTTTTGTTAGATATTTCCTAATTACATTTTAATCTGGTTGGGCATACACCTCTGCTTTGGGGGAGGTCCTGCTCTCCTGATGTCCCATCACCATAAGTACCTGAGCATCATTTTTAAAGTCAGAGACAGGAGTTAGCTGCCAATATCAAGCATCAGAGAGAAGAG